TGCTGGGCTCATACTGGGACCATCCTGGGAGTGACTGCAATACTACTGGGAGTATGGGAGAGGCACTGCAACCATACTGGGGATGACTGGGATCAAACTGGATTCGTACTGCAAGTGTCTGGAAGTTCCTGGGGTCATACTGGGGGTGACTGGACTCATAGTGGGATCATCCTGGGAGCAACTGGGACCATGCAGGGGCAAATGGCCTCCTCCAGGCAGTGACTGAAAGTGCCTGAGGCCATACTGGACTCAGACTGGGAGTCCCTGAGAGGATAAGGAACCATCGTGGGGGAAACTGGGAGCAACTGGGACCACCTTGAGGGCAACTGGAATCCAGTTGGGAGTGACTGGGAGTGATTGGGATAATAGTGGGAGTGACCAGGACCACACTGGAACCATCCTGGGAGTGACTGTAAGTGACTGGGATCATACTGGGAGCAACTGGGTTATGGTTGTGGCACAAAGGACAGAGGGAGGGGAGGGAAAGAGAGGGGAGAGGGAATTTTAGAAAGGATAAAGAGGAAAGAAAGACAAAAAAAGAAGAAAAATAAGAGAAAAAGCCGAGTTTCAATATTCAGTAAATGTGTGAGTCACTGAGAGCTCCCAGGTCAAAGGCAGGTGAAGTGTTTGCAGGGGACAGGAGCCTGTTCAGGGCTCAGGAGCTGCTGCTGCCCAAAGGGAGGAAACGCCCCGAGGGCTCGGAGCAGAGTTTGTGCTTTGGGGCCTTTGCCAAGAACCCGCAGGAGGGAAAGCAGTTCCAGCCAGGGGGGCCCAGGGGCTCCCAGCACGGGCCCAGGGGCTCCCAGTCACCCCCAGGATGGGCCCAGTCACCCCCAGGATGGGCCCAGTCACCCCCAGGATGATCTCAGTCACTTTTAGTCATGCCCAGTCTGATCCCAGCATGATCCCAGTCACTCCCAGTCTGATTCCATTCTCTCCTAGTAGGATCCAAGTTACCCCCCGCAAGTTCCCAGTTGCTCCCAGTTAGTCCCAGTATAATCCCACTCAATTCTGGTTTCTCCCATTATATCTCAGTTGCCCCCAGTGTGGTCCCACTCACTCCCGGTTGTTTCCAGTAGCTTCCAGCATGATCCCAGTTGCTCACAGCCACTCCCAGTCACTCCCAGTGTGGTCCCAGTCACCCCCAGGATGGTTGCAGACTCTCCCAGTATAGCCCAGTTGCCCTCAGCATGCTCATAGTCATACCCAGTTACTTCCACTTGCCCCAGGATGCTTCCAGTTCCCATCAGTACAATCCCAGTCACTCCCAGTCTATGCCAGTTGCCTCCAGAATGCACCCTGTCACTCCCAGTCACTCCCAGTTCCACCATATTTCCACCATGGCCCCACTGGCTCCCAGTTCCACCATGTGGTAGTTCCACTCACTCCCACTGGACAATGACAGTCACTCCCAGGATGGTTCCAGTATGGCCCTGGTCACTCCCACTATGATCTCAATCACTCCCATTCACTCCCAATTGGATCCCAGTTACCACCAAGGTGGTCCCAGTTGCTTCCAGTATGATCCCAGTTGCCCCCCGTGTGGTTCCAGTTGCTCCCATTCACCCCTACTGTGCTTCCAGTAACTCCCAGTATCATCCCTGTCACTCCCAGCCACTCCCAGTAGATCCCACTTGCCTCCAACAGGCTTCCAGTCACCCCATCTCAGTCACTTTTAGTCAGGTCCAGTATCATCCCACTATGATCCCAGTCACTCCCACTCTGATCCCAGTCTCTCCTAGTAGGATCCAAGTTACCCCCTGCATGCTCCCAGTTGCTCCCAATCACCCCACTAGAGTTCCCCTCCCTCCCAGTCCCTCCCAGGACCATCCCAGTAGGATCCCAGTGACACCCCAGATGGTGGCACTCACAGCCAGGATGAACCCAGACATGCCCTGGCACTCCCAGGATAAAGCCATTTGCCCCCAGCAGGCTCCCAGTTCCTCCCAGTCACTGACTATGGTTCCAGTTACTCCCAGGATGATCCCTGGTACTCCCAGTCACTCCCACTATGATCCCAGTCAGTCTCAGTATGATCCCAGTCACTCCCAGTATGATCACAGCCACTCCTGGTCTCTCCCAGTATATCCCAGTTGAAGTCAATGTGGTCCCACTCACTCTCAGTTGCTCCCAGTAGCTTCCAGCATAATCCCAGTTACTCACAGCCACTCCCAGTCACTCCCAGTGTGGTCCTAGTTGCTCCCAGTTTTTCCACTGTGATCCCAGTTGCTCCCAGTTGCCCTGAGCAGAGACCCAGTTGCTTCCAGTATGATCCCTGTCTGATCCCAGTCTGATCCCAGTAATATCCCAGTATTATCCCAGTACAATCACAGTTGTCCCCAGCATGGGCCAAGTTGCTCCCAGTTGCCTCCAGCACAGATCCAGTCAATCCAAGTGTGATGCCAGTCTTCCCCCAGCATGGTCCCAGTCAATCCCAGTTGCCCCATTGTAGATCCAGTCACTCCCAGTCACTCCTAGTGTGGTCCCACTTGCTCCCAGTATGATCCCAGTAACCTCCAGCGTGATCCCACTTGCTCCCAGTATATCCCAGTTGCACCAACATGGTCCCAACTGCCCTCAGAATGCTCCCAGTCACTCCCAGTATGACCCCAGTCACCCTCACTGTGGGCTCAGTTGTCCCCAGCATGCTCCCAGTTGCCTCCAGCACAGATCCAGTCAATCCAAGTATGATCCCAGTCTTCCCCCAGCATGGTCCCAGTCAATCCCAGTTGCCCCCTTGTACATCCAGTCACTCCCAGTTCCTCCCAGTTGCCCCCCAAATGGTCCAAGTCACTCCCAGTGTGCTCCCAGTCACCCCCAGGATGGTTGCAGACTCTCCCAGTAGATCCCAGTTGCCCTCAGCATGCTCACAGTCATACCCAGTTACTTCCACTTGTCCCAGGATGCTTCCAGTTCCCATCAGTACAATCCCAGTCACTCCCAGTCACTCCCAGTCTATGCCAGTTGCCTCCAGAATGCACCCTGGCACTCCCAGTTACTCCCAGTTCCACCATACTTCCACCATGGCCCCACTGTTTCGCAGTTCCCTCCTGAATAGTTCTAGTTATGCCCAGTATGATCCCAGTCACTGACAGTCACTCCCAGGATGGTTCCAGTATGGCCCTGGTCACTCCCACTAGGATCCCAGTCACTCCCAGTCACCCCCACTAGGATCCCAGTCACTCCCAATTGGATCCCAGTTGCCCCCAAGGTGGTCCCAGTTGCTCCCAGTATGATCCCACTATGAGTCCAGTCACCCTCAGTACAATCCCAGTAACTTGCAGACACTTCCAGTACGACTCCAGTTTGATCCCAGTCATCCCCAGTATGACCCCAGTCACCCTCACTGTGTCCCCAATTTCTCCGAGCATGGGTCAAGCTCTCCAACTGTGATCCCACTATGATCCCAGTACTCCCCAGCATGGTCCCAGTTGCTCCCAGTTTCTCCCAGTGTGATCCCAGTTGCTCTAAGTTGTCTCTAGGATTGACCCAGTCTCTCCCTTTAAGATCCCAGTCCGATCCCAGTATGAGCCCAGCAGGGGCCCAGCTGCTCCCAGGATGACCCCAGTTGCCCCCAGCGTGGTTCCAGTTGCTCCCATTCACCCCTATTATGGTTCCACTCACTCCCAGCCACTCCCAGTATATCCCAGTTGCCCCCAACATGCTCCCAGTTGCTCCCAGTATATCCCAGTTGCCCCAGTTCTGGTCCCGCTGGCTCCAGTCCAGGTCTCGGTGTATCCCGGTGTCCCCCCTGTCCCCCCACCCCAATCTCACCCCCTTTTCTCTCCCCACAGAGCTCCTGAGCCGCTGGCGGCCGCAGCCCCTCCCCGTGGCCTCGGGCCCAGCCGGGACCCCCCAGTCCATCCCCGCCCGCACTTTGGGGGGGTCGTGTGTCCCCCCCGGCCCTGCTTTTGTTCACACCCCAGCCGGCTGCTCCCAGTGTTCCCAGGAAAGCTTCCCAGTTCTCTGCAGTCCCTGTTTTTGGGGGGGCAGTGAGGGGGCTCTGAAAATCCCAGGAATGGGGGGGGTTGGGCACTTCCAGACCCACAAAATCCTTTGAACAGGGCTTTTGGGGACATTCAGACCCCAAAAATCTTGGGAACATGGGGGCTCTCCTACATCCCAGAAGTTACAGGAACATCATGTTTGGGGCACTCCCTGACCCCAAAATATTGGAAAAGAGGGGCTTGGACACTCCTAGACCATAAAACTCATGGGAATAAGGGGTTGGGGCACTCCCAGACCCTAAAAATCCCCGAGAAAGTTTGCTTGGGCACATCCAGAGCCCAAAATATTGGAAGAGAGGGGACTGGGCACGCCCAAACCCTAAAAATCCCAGGAAGAGTGGGATTTGGAAAACGTCACACCCCAAGAATCCCAGGAACTGGAGGTTATTGGGCACTCGGGGACACCCAGAACCTCATTCCCACGTATCCAGGTCAACCCAAACGCCAACCCCAGGAATCCGAGAACTCCCAAAACCCACCCCGGACCCCCCAAGGCCTGGGCAGGGTCAGCAGCAGCAGCCAATGGGAGCGAGCGGTGCTGACGCGTCATCAGCTGCCGGGCAGACCCGTCCGGAACGGAGCCCTCCCCGAGCTCAGCCAATCAGAGACCGCCCTCCGGTGATTTTGGGGGCCCGTTGGAGCTGCGGGAGCCCCGGATGGGCGTTTTTAGGTTGCCCTGAGCTTTGGGAGCCCTGGCTGGGCACTTTTGGTGGGCCCTGAGCTCCCCCCTCCCCCGCAGCCCACGGACCCCCCCGAACCCCCCAGCCCCGGGGCTGCCGCGGGGGCCCCCAACGGCCCTCAGCCAATCCCAAAGCGCCCACGCCGCCCGCGCCCAAGCCCAGCGCGCCGCGCTGATGACTCATCAGTCGCCGGGAAGACGCCTCGAAAAAAGGGCCCCAACTGCGCCCTCAGCCAAGCCCAGCGCGCCCCAAACCCCCCAAAACGGCGCCGCCCGGCTGGGTTGGGGCTGTCAGCAGCTGTCCGGCGCTGGGCATGGAGCGTGTGCGGGGAGCTGGGGCCGTGCTGGCGGTGCTGGTGGTGCTGGGAGCCCCCCCGGCTGCGGGCGAGGAGCTGTCGGGTGAGCGGGGGGTGGGAAAGGGGGGAAAGAGGGGAGAAAAGAGGGGGTGGGAGCCCAAAAAAGTGAGTGCGAGGGGGGTGGGAAGGCCCGGAGTGAGTGGGAGGGTGGTGGGAGCCCCAAAGTGAGGTTGGGGGGGTGTGGGGATTGTGGGGCCGGTGGGAAAGGGGTGGGAGAGGGGGGCAAGGGGGTGTGGAAGAGCAGGAAGAGGGGTGCCCTGGGGGTCCCTGGGTGTCCCTTGATCCCTGGAGCGGTTCCCTGGGGCTCTGGGGGGGTGGGATGGGCATTAGGGGTTCCCCAACCCCCCTGTCCATGCCCGGGGGGCTGATGGGGGGGCTCCCCCCCAGCCAAGAGCCGGTGCTGGGGCGTCCGTGGGGCAGAGGGGATGGGAAAGGGGGGTCCGGGGTGGCCCCCTGAGCTCCCAGCCTGCTGTGGGGGGCTGGGGGATGATGGGTGGGGACGGGGCACCTCCTGACCCGTGTCCTGCACACACAGGGGTGTTTGTGTTATCGTCTCCGGGTGAGTGTCACTTCATCAACAGCACCGAGCGGGTGAGGTACGTGGAGAGGTACATCTACAACCGGGAGCAGTTCATGCACTTTGACAGCGATGTGGGGGCGTTTGTGGGGGACACCCTGTTTGGGGAGATCAATGCCAGGCGCTTGAACAGCGACCCGGAATTGCTGGACCTCAGACGGTCTGCAGTGGACACACACTGCCGCCACAACTACGAGGTGTTCATCCCGTTAACTGTGAACCGCAGAGGTGAGCGTGGGGCAGAGCGGGTCCCCTCGGCCCCTGCCCGAGGAATGGCCCTGGAGCCCCTCAAACCCTCCCTGGGAATCACCCCAGACCCCTCAGCTCTCCCTGTGCCCATCCCCTTGCCTTTTCCCCACTCCCAGTTCCTCCCAGTCTGTCCCAGTCTCTCCCAGTCCTTCCAATGCCCCCTAATCTCTCCCAGTCCATCCCAGTCTCTCCCCGTGCCCCCCCGCGTCTCCACCCCGCTGGGCCCACCGAACTCCCACCCCTCAGCCAATCCCAGAGCGTCTCTCTTATGACGCTCCAGTTGCCAGGCAGACCCAAAACAAAGACTTCCCTCACCACCACTCAGCCTCCCAGGCCGGAGCGCTTCCTTCCCAGTCCAGACCAGTCACTCCCAGTCCCTCTCATTCCACTCCCAGACCCACTCACTCCACTCCCAGACCCTCTCAGTACATTCCCAGTCGTTCTCACTTCACTCCCACATCTCCCAACTCTCTCCCCAGTGCCCCCACAGCCCAGCCCATTCTCCCCCACTCTATTCCCACTCCCTCCCACTGCCATCCCAGTCCCTCCCACTGCCATCCCAGTCCCTCCCAACGCCCTCCAAGCCCTCTACCCTCCCTCCCAGTGCCCCCCAGCGTGTCCATCTCGCTGGTACCGTCGAGCTCCCAGCCCGGCCCCGGCCGCCTGCTCTGCTCTGTGATGGATTTCTACCCTGCGCCGGTGCAGGTGAGGTGGTTCCAGGATGGGCAGGAGCTGCCGGAGCACGTGGTGGCCACCGACGTGATCCCCAACGGGGACTGGAGCTGCCAGGTGCTGGTGCTGCTGGAAATCCCCCCCCGGCGCGGGGTCACCTACAGCTGCCAGGTGGAGCACGTCAGCCTGGAGCACCCCCTCAGCCGGCACTGGGGTACGGCCCGGCACCCCCAGCACTGGGGGCACACTGGTAGGGGGGCCGGGGGGGAAAGGGGGCAACTGGGGGCAACTGGGAGGGAGTTTGGTGGGTGCTGGGGGTGCTGGGAGGGGGGTGGGAGGGTCCTAAAGGGTCTGGGATGGGCTTCTTGGGATCCCTACAGGGGCTGGGAAGGGACTGGCAGGAGGTTTCAGGGACCCCCGGGTGGGCTGGGGGAGAGCGGGCCGGGCTCTGTGGGGTGCCGGGGGGTGCGTGGGAGGAGGTTTTGGCGGTGCTGACCCCCCCGGCTCCCCCCCAGAGATGCCACCGGACACCGTCCGCAGCAAGATCCTGGTGGGGGTCGGGGGCTTCGTCTTGGGCTTGGTCTTCCTGGTGCTGGGGCTCGGCTTCTACCTGCGGGAGAAGGTAAAGGGGGGTCCCCAAAGGGGGGGCGTGGCCCCCCCTTGCTCTCCCACAGCCCCTGGGCCCCTCTGCCCCCCCAGCCCCTTTTGGTCTCACCCCCTTTTCTCTCCCCACAGAGCTCCTGAGCTGCCGGCGGCCGCAGCCCCTCCCCGTGGCCTCGGGCCCAGCCGGGACCCCCCAAACCCTGCACTCATTTGGGGGGATCGCCTGTCCCCCCCTTCCCTGCATTTATTCCCATTCCAGCCAGCTGTTCCCAGTGTTCCCAGTAAAGCTCCTTAGTGCTCTACAGTCCTGGTTGTTGGATGCAGTGATGGGGGCGCTCCAAAAATCCTGCTAACAGGGGGGTTTTGGTACTCTCAGACCCTCAAATTCCTCCCAAAGCTCGGGGCCGACCAAAAATGCCCAGCCAGGACTCCCAAAGCTCAGGGCAACCCAAAACCAGCCACCCAGGGCTCCCACAGATCAGGGGAACCTCAAACAGAGGATAAAGTTGTCCCAGAGCTCAGAGTTGCCTCAAACAAGAGGGAGATGGGGGGCTGAGGATGCCCAATCCCCCTTTTCCCGGCATTTTTGGTTGTACTGGGTCTTAGTTCAACAAGATTACAACTTAGAAATTAAGAGACTTCAGGTGGAAGTGTGGAAAAGGAAAAGAAACAGCTTTTTATTAACAAAATCTGAATAAACAACAAATGGTGCAACCAAAAACTTTGAGAAGAAACAAAGTGAAGTCCCAAATCCCCAGGTGGGGGGGAGAAACTGTCCCGGCAGTTCAAAGCTCTCGCAGCCCCGTGTGCTCGCAGCCAGCAGTGAAGGAGTCCCTTTTCCCAGGGGCAGTCCCCAAAGCAGAACACCTCGCTCCCAGATGGGTCGGGCTCTCTCTCTCTCTCTCTCTCTCTCTCTCTCTCTCTCTCTCTCTCGGTCGCTCTCCACGAGGTGTCCCGTGGGGAAAAAACTTCCTCTCAGGAAAAGAGAACAAGGTGGCCAAAACCAGCTCCCGCTCTGTCCGGTCCCGGACAAACCCCAAAAGCCCCCGAACAAAGGACCCCCCGCCCTCCCCGCGGCCACCGCGGTGTCCCCGAGAGCCGCCCTCCCCCCACTGCCCCTGCCCAGCGCCTGCGGCTCCGCTCCAACCCACCCCATCCCGGGAGACACAGATGGCAATGGGGGGGACACTGGGAAACAATTCCAACACCTCTTTTCAACCCTCTGACACCTGCTTCCCAGACATTCCCAAAGAAGGGGCTTCCCGTGGCCTCGAGCCAGGGACCGACCTTTGTATTGAACCAACTCCTGGAGAGACACGTCCCCATCCCTGTCCCCATTCCCATTCCTGGGGTTCCCATCCCTCTCCCCATTCCCACTTCCTGCTGTGCCAACCTGCTCCCAGTGTCCCCGTTCCTGTCCCCACTATCCCTATCCTGGTCTCCCATGTCCCCATTCCCATTCCCGGTGTCCCAATTCCCATTCCTGGAGTTCCCATTCCCATTCCTGCTGTCCCCAACCTGCTCCCAGTGTCCCCATCCCTGTCCCCAATGTCCCCATCCCATTCCCCCCTGTCCCCATTCCTATTCCTGGTTCCCACAGAGGAACTGCCGGATGCCGGAGGAGGGAGCCAGGATTTATTGCCCAAAGCAGGAGATTTTCACACCCAAATTAAAGCCTCAGGAATAATTGTGGTCCTGGGTTTCACACGGGAAAAAGCAGGAAGTTGATCCATTAGGAAGAGCCGCAAGGGGGCTGGGGTGCGTGGGAGCAGCGGGATGAGCTCTGCCAGCAGTTCCTGCCTTTCCACAGGGAGAGGGAAGGGGCGGATCCAGCTCCAGGATCGCTCAGGCCGTGATTCCTGCTGGGATGAGAGTGGGGAAAGGAGTCACCATGTCCCTGTTCCCATCCCAGGGGATGGAGCCGGTTGTGGAGCCCAGGGAGAGTAGGAACTGCTCCGGAATCCCACCTGATCCTGCTCTGTCCATCCCACCCCAATCCCACTCCATCCATCCCACCCCAATCCCACTCCAGAATCCAACCCTGATCCCAGTCCACAATTCCACCTGAGCCCACTCTGGAATCCTGCCCTGAGCTGGAATCCCCTTCCAATCCCGCTCCAGCCATTAGGTCCCCATTCCCCTCTGGAATCCCGGCCTCCATCCTGGGATCCCTGCCCAGAGGATCTGGATCCACACACGCTGCTGGGACTCACTGGTGGGCGCGGGGTCGTATCCATTCCCCTTCCTCTTCCCTATGGAAAGAAAGCGGGATCAGCACCCGTGGCACAGGATCCCCGGAATGCTGCCGGGCGGATCCGTGCCCCTTCCCGACCCCCATCCCGGGAGTTACCGGATCGGAGCTTCCAGACACCGACTCCCACGAAGCCGATGATGATGATGATGGCAGCGATGAGGGACACAGTGTCCTAGTTAGAACAGTTGGGACCGATTCCTCACTGGATGGGTGTAGCCCAAAACTGTGGATTCTCTGGCCTTCCATGCCATTTTCCCAGGAACTGTTGTCAGGAGAGGCCTGCGAGGTGGGGGGGGATGTCCTGAGCACCCTCCTACCCTTTTATGGACTGAGCATCCTCATAGCCTTTTATGGAATTGCTCGCTCTGAGGGAACGAACTGAGCATCCTTTTATGGAATTCCCCGCTGTGAGGGGAGGACTGGGCATTCCTGCCTGAACTGGAGAATATATAAACCTGAAGTTTCGGAACCTTTTTAGCACTCGTGGGATCCAAAGGAGGACTGCAGCAAACTGCTCTCAACCAGCCTGAGACCACCCCCCTCAACTGGACTGCAATCCCCACTTTTGACCGGACTGCAACAGCTCTCCCACCAGCAGGTTTTTTTTCCCCTCTCCCTTTACTTTGGACTGGGGGGGGTCCAAGGAACAGCACTTTGTTCATGGCCCAGGGTGCTGGGTTCTACATTTGGATTTTGTGGATTAAAACCAATTGCTTGTCTGTATAATCAGACTTATTGGGCAAGGGGGGCCCAAGGGGGGCCCAAGGGGGCTGGGCCAGGAGGGGAAGGGCTGCAGGGGGCGGATCCCAGAGGAGGAAACCCGCCAAAAGCGACGGCCCAGCCGAGGGAGGAGCCGAGCAGGAGCACAAAGAAGAGCAGCCCAAAGGTCCCGGAGAGGGGGAAGGCCTTGGAGTGTGGAGAGGAGGGGGGGCCTTGAGGCGGGGTGGGAGCCGAGAGCGCCAAGAGGTTTGCGAGGGTGGGAGGCGAGAGAGGAGGGCCGGCCGGCCCCGGGAGGAAGAGTGGGGAGAAGTGAGCCCTGGGACCCCCCTGGCAACACTAAAGGGGACCCCAGAGAGTGGGAACCCCCCGGAACCGCAGGACCCCCGGCAGCCCGGAGAAGGGGGACCCCCAATGCCGGCAGAAGTGCCATCAGGCCAGACAGGGGGGACCCCCCAAACCCCAGAGAGCAGAGTGGGGGAACTCCTGGGAGGGGTTTTTGGGCTGAATGTTGGTGTTTTGGGGGTTTTTATGGGCACAAGATGCCCAGTGAGTCCTAGAGCTGGACTTGGGCAGGAGGAACCCCCAAGGCAACGCACTCACCCCTTGTTTCCCCCCCCAGCAGGATTTCTGCTTCCCAAAGCTTGGGCGGATGGAGGAGGAGGCTGCGAGGAAGAGGAAGATGCCTTGGTCCCCCCAGGCAGGTGAGGAGGAAGTCAGTGCCCCTTTGGGTCGGTCTTTTGTCTTTTGTGGCCGTCCTGCCGTGGCCGGAGTTGGGGGGATGTCCTTGGGCGTCCCTGTGGGCCGGAGGCAAATCCCCTGCGTGTCCTTGTTGCTTCCTGCCCCAGGCCCCGAGGTGAGGCCGGAGAGCGCGGAGGACAAATCCCGGCGGCAGAGCCTGGTGGGAGAGGCCGTTTTGAAGGGCTCCCCGGCGCAGGAAGGCAGCGGGGAGGAAAAGGGCCGGAGATGCCCCCGCAGGAGGGGCTGCAAAGCCAGCCCAGGGGGCTGTGAGGAGGAAAGAGCCAGCGTGTGCCGGGAAGGCGGCCGGAGCTTGAGGCGGAGCTGCGAGCTGGTGGTCCCTGAGCAGCCTCCCAGCAGGGAAAAGCCCTTCAGGTGTTTGGAATGTGGGAAGAGCTTCAGCAGGAGCACCCACCTCCTCAGCCACCAGCACATCCACAGTGGGGAAAGGCCCTACACATGTGGGGAGTGTGGGAAAAGCTTCAGGCACAGCTCCACCCTCCGCACCCACCGTCGCATCCACGGTGGGGAACGGCCCTACACGTGTGGGGAGTGTGGGAAGAGCTTCAAACGGAGCTCCCACCTCCTCAGCCACCAGATGATCCACAGTGGGGAAAGGCCCTACATGTGTGCGGAGTGTGGGAAGAGCTTCAAACGGAGCTCCCACCTCCTCAGCCACCAGATGGTCCACAGTGGGAACGGGCCTACACGTGTACGGAGTGTGGGAAGAACTTCAGGGACAGCTCCAGCCTTTGCAAACACCGTTGCATCCACACCAGGGAATGGCCCTACAAGTGCTTGGAATGTGGGAAGAGCTTCAGCACAAGCCCCAAGCTGCTCAGCCCCCAGCACATCCACACTGGGGAACAGCCCTACACGTGTAGGGAAGGTGGGACAGCTCCACCCTCTACACCCACCGTCGCCTCCACATCAGGGAGAGGCCCTTCCACTGTGGGGAGTGTGGGAAGAGCTTCAGGCAGAGCTCTTCCTTGACCTCCCACCAACGGACCCACCAGTAATGGAAGCCCCGAGTGCCCCGACTGCGGGAAGAGCTTCGGCCGCTGCTCCAACTCCATCAGCCATGGGAGGACCCGCGTTGGATGATCCACAGGGACCCCCGTTGGGCACAGACCTGGTGTGCTGGTTTTAAGGTAAACCAGCAGGGGAAGTGACAGTGGTGACATCACGGGGACATCGATGACATCACAGGGACATTGGTGACATCACAGGGAAATTGGTGACATCACAGGGACAGCGGTGACATCACGGGGACAGCGGTGACATCACAGGGACAGTGGTGACATCACAGGGACATTGGTGACATCACAGGGACAGTGGTGACATCACAGGGACAGTGGTGACATCACCGGGGGTTAATTTTGGTGTTAAAATCTCCTGCTTTGGGCAATAAATTCTGGCTCCTGCTCCGGCATCCGGCAGTTCTTCCCTGGGAACCAGGAATGGGAATGGGGACAGGGGGAATGGGAATGGGGACACCTGGAATGGGAATGGGAACATTGGGAGCTGACTGGGAACAACTCTAATGGGAACGGAGAAATCAGGAAGTGGGAATGGGGGCACCTGGATTGGGAATGGGGACACCGGGGAGAGGGATGGAGACACTGGGAGCAGGTTAGGGACACCTGGAATGGGAATGGGGACACCAGGAATTGGAATGGAGACACCAGGAACTGGGATGGGAACACCTGGAATGGGAATGGGAATTCATGGAAGGGGAATGGGAACACCTGGAATGGGAACGGGAACATTGGGAGCAGATTGAGGACACCAGGAATTGGAATGGGGACACCAGGAATGGGAATGGGAACACCAGGAATGGGAATAGGGAAAAAAGAGGTGGGATGGGAACACCTGGAATTGGAATGGGGACAATAGGAATGGGAATGGAGACCCCTGGAATGGGAATGGGAACACCAAGAACTGGGAATGGGGAAAACAGAAGTGGGATGGGAACATCAGGAATGGGAGGAGGGACGATAGGAATGGGAATGGGGACACGTAGAACGGGATGGAACACCTGGAAAGGGAATTGGAACTCCTGGAATGGGAATGGGGACACCTGGAATGGGAATGAGAATGCCTGGAATGGGCATGGGGACATCAGGAATGGGATGGGGACAATAGCAATGGGATGGTAACACCAGGAATGGAAATGGGAACACCGGGAATGGGAATGGGGACATTGGGAGCAGACTAGGAACAACAGGAATGGGAATGGGGCCAGCAGGAATGGGAATGGGGACACGTGGAATGGAAATGGGAACACCTGGAATGGGAATGAGAACACCAGGAATGGAAATGGGGACACCAGGAATGGGAACACCTGGAATGAGAATGGAGACACCTGGAATGGGATGGGAAACTCTGGAATGGGAGTAGGAACCCCTGGAATTGGAATGAGGACACCTGGAATGGGAATGGGGACATCAGCAATGGGAATGGGGACACCTGGGCAGGGAATGGGAACATTGGGAATGGGAACATTGGGAGCAGGTTGGGCACACCAGGAATTGGAATGGGAACTCATGGAATTGGAATGGGGACACCTGGAATGGGAACTCGTGGAATGGGAATGGGAACACCTGGAATGGGAATGGAAACATTGGGAGCAGACTGGGGACACCAGGAATTGGAATGGGGACACCTCGAATGGGAATGGAGACATCTGGAATGGGAATAGGGAAAACAGAGGTGGGATGGGAACACCTGGAATGGGAATGGGGACAATAGGAATAGGAATGGAGACACCTGGCATGGGAATGGGGACACCAAGAACTGGGAATGGGGAAAACAGAAGTGGGATGGGAACACCAGGAATGGGAGGAGGGACAATAGGAATGGGAATGGGGACACCTGGAATGGGATGGAACACCTGGAAAGGGAATTGGAACACCTGGAATGGGATGGGAACACCTGGATCAGGAATGCAAACCCGTGCAATGGGAATGGGAACCCCCGGGCCCGGGCTGTGTCCCTGGTGGAACAGGAGGCCAGGCCCAAAAGAGTTCACGAAGAAATTTGGGCCTGCTAACAAGCTCCCAACAGCCAAGACCATCTGTGCTCGTTCTGTTCTACTGACTGGAGCAAAGCTTCAGAGAATAGTACAGGAACATGTCCTAGGCCTCGAGGGGATAAATTAGAGAGACAGCAGGATCAGGGAGACATTGGAAGAGGAGGAATAGGCCGGGAGCCAGGGCTTTTTCCAAGCTTCAGGGAGCGGGTCAAGAACAATGGAAGAGAAGGAAGGTCAAGCTGAGGAAGAGGAGTTGAAGCCCCCAGAGCCATGGAGGAAGAGTGGAAGTCCCCTCAGGATTGAGGGCCAAGAGAAGCACCGCCCCAAGCCCCGCCTGAGCTCCACCTATACTCCGTCTATTCTTAATATGCAGAGAGAGATGTTGGAATCACTTGAATATGCATTTAATCCCAGCTGAAGATTGTATAAAAATGCTGATTTTGTGTGAAGCCTTGGAGCAAGTTTGTCCAGCGCGAGCTGGCTTGCTCCCAACGTTGAATAAACAAATACCTTGCTGCTTAAAGAGAAAAAAGTCTCTGAGCAGTTTCTCGGACCGATTTTTCGGATTCAGCGCCCAGTCAGTCCCAGGACAATCCCAGTCACTCCTGGTCTCTCCCAGTTGCTCCCAGTTTCCTCCATGTGGTCCCACTCATTCCCAGTTGCCCCCAG